TTTTTCCTAAAATTGAATTTGTGAAACTACCAATTTTTCTAAAGTTGAATTTGTGAAGGTACCGCTAAACGGTAGTAAATTCGACCTGGACAGACCCCTGCTTGCAAAAATTAAAAAAATAAAATGAAATAAAAATATGTTTTGCTTTTGTGTGCCCTTCTGTGATGTTTTTCCCATGGGCTACTGTTCCAGAATATTTGGCGATTATTTGGGAATAAGTACCAATATTCTCTCTTTTTATTCGTTATTTAGGCACTGAAGTAGATGCTTCATTATGGTACTGAAATTATTGTATGTTTGTCTTTCTGACATTTATGATGCTTTTCGATTTAGTTTAAATTTTATATATATGAAGTGCAATGTTTTATTTTTAAGTTAACACAAATGCCTGGTAAAGGGTTGCTATATGCGTTCAGATGTAGAGTACCAAACCTTACTAAAGCAAACAAAGGCGTAGTTAGGGCTTATGGCACTGGAGAAAAACTTAGTTTTTGCACCTCCTTGATAACGATATAATGTCAGAAAATTAAGGGAACTATTTAAGACTGTTATAAGTTTAGATTTTGTAAAATTAAATTCATTGATTAGATTTTATATTGAATGAGATTTTATAATTTTAAATCAATTTAACTCGTCATTGTAAAAAATATTATTTTGATTTGGTTTAAAATTGAACAGTATATGTTACCAAAGTAAGTAGTTTCTATTATGTTTATTGTTTTTGATTGAAGGAATGTTTATTGTTTGTTATTGTTTCATCAATGTGCAAAAATAATTTAAAAAATAAACTTACATGCATAGCAAACTACAACAATAATACAATTCCGTTTCAATTTTTCTTTAAATGGGATAAAAATAGTTAGTAGGTATTATTGGGCCTGTAATTGACTGAAGGGCATATTAAAGGGAGAGGGTAACATTGTTATAGACTAATAATACAGTAAAAAATTGTTTTTTTTCTTCCTTTTATGATACAATAGCATATTTTTCAATATTTTTTTATTGCATATAAAATAGCAATAAAAGAAATAATGGAACTTTTTTGCATTTTTTTTTCTATTTTTCCATGTTATTTAAAAAAATGTAGCTAACTTTTTTTTTATTCCAGGATATTTAAAATTATATTAGATTTAAGTAAATACTCTGACTCCAAAATTTTATGTCTGACAAAGTAAAAAATTTCAAATTAATTATCTATCATATTTTGTAAGTTAAGAACTGCAAAGAATTCAGTCAAGTTCATATTTAAATTAGAAACAAATTTACAGAGTTTAGACAATTTGTAAATGAGTAATCATTTTTTGCTTTCGTGTGATTGATGTCTGACACTAACAATTTAATCCATCTAATTTGAACTTATTATAATCGGTTTTTATAAAACAAATTGTTTTTTGATAGGTTATGATTAGGGCTGCAGGTTTGTTGCGGCGCGAATTTCCGCGATGATTTCCACGAAATTGTCATCTTTTTTCTTAAAATCCGCAAATTTCTCAATATGTTTTGACTTGCTCGAAAATGTCTTAAAATTTGATTTTTTTTTATTTATTATTTTTATTAAACAGAATTTTTTATTTTCCTGAACCTTAAATTGAACATGTAAAATTGATTAGATATTTAGGGGAGTGAATCAATAGCAAAATGACATGAAAATAGTTCAGAGATAAGAGATAATCACAATCTTGTCAACTAAGGTGGTCTTTCTACACTTAGGGAGGGTAATTACCTTCCTGAAGTCAGTAAGAGTACAAAAGAAATTGGAATCACAAAGGAAGGAAAATGTTATAAATCAAATCTTTGACAGAAAAATTGTTATACATGCTATTGCACTGGGCAACGAAATTTCTACTGCCTTTCTACATATTCAGTTAATTTTTCCTAGGCGGCTTCTTGTGATCTCTTAAATATGGATCAGTTTCTTAGATGAGAGGGACTAGTAGTTAGTAGGGACTTGTAACTAGTAGTTTGAATGTAGAATGTTTGAGTTTTCACAGCAATTACTTCTTACAAAGCAACGGTCAAGGAATTGCGCGTTGGTGAAGGAAAATTGATCGAGTTTTGGAAATCAAAGACCGAACGCTCCAAAATTGGCAATTCGAAGTTTGTCGGTGCCTAAAAACAGCGTTGACGCAGAAAGATCGTTTTCTAAGTATAAAAATGTATTAAGTGATGAAAGACGAAGCATAAATGAGAATAATCTGACAATGTACAATACTTTGTACCAAAATTCTGTTCATTTAAATAAAAATATTAATATTGCTTGAAATTCAAAGAAATACTTTTGTTGTGTATTTTTAAGTTTTTTTTATTATTTGCGCAATTTCTGTCTTTTGCATCATTTATATAATAAATTTTTTTATGTTTAGAATTTGTGTAATTTTTAAAATTTCCCGCGAATTTGGGTTTTTTTTCTTCCCGCGACAAACTTGCAGCCCTAGTTATGATGTACTAAATATGTGGTATTAAAATTTTATGATAAACTTAATTTATGTATGTTTTATAAGAGAGTTTTCGAAGAAATCTATGCTCATGGAATTTGTCTACTTGTTAAAAGAAGAACAATGAACTAAGAAAACATGTCGTTAGATTGGAATTCTTAAATATTTGAATTTCAAGTAAGGAGAAAAACAAAATAAAATGTAAAGAATTTATCCAGTTTTTTTCCTATGAAATATGCCAAAAGGAATTTGACAATTTTGGCTTTGCAACGTTCATTTTTGAAAACTAAATATCTCTTAAAAATAATTCTAAATCATCATTATTTAAACATTTGACTTTAGATATTGGTTTAAAGAAAATGTATCAATGAATTTTATAAAGGCCACTGTTTGGATAAAATAAAGTATAAAATGGCTCTATATTGAAATGTAAATAAATATAAAAATTTATTGATGTATAATCAAAAGGAATTGTTTTCTTTTTCTAATGAAAATATATTAAACAGTGCTTATCCAATGTTTTTTGGGTGATTCTGTATTTACCAATTGGTACACTTAGTGCAAAAACTACCTAATGCACCACATTAAAACATTTTTTTATTCAATAAAAACAATATGTTCTACAAGCTAAACATATTTTCTTCACATCTGTTTTAATTTTTTTAAAAGTTAATGTTGTACCAAAACATTGAAAATTTTAAAAATAAAAATAAAATCTTGATAAGTTATTTAACTAAATTTAGTCTAATTATTTTTTCTAGATGATATATTAAAAAAAATAACATCTTAAATAATATACTTAATAATATTGACCCATTTCTGCACTTTTAGAGAAAAAAAAACATGCTGCTCTGGAAAGTATAATCTTTTTACCTCGAAAACCTGAAAAAATCAAGGAAATTTGAAATCTGATTTGAGTTGCCACCCTTAAAGTCTAAAGTTTTTAACCACCCATGGGCAAGCAATTTCTCATTCTTTTTTACTTTATTTCATGTTAGACAACAGAGCAATTTCATTTGGCACCTCGGTGGTTTCAGTTAGCGTGAATAACAAGAGAGATATCTCCTAAAGATTTTTGTCATGTATTTTTTTTAATAATGAAAAGCACAGCAAATCTGGTTTACAATATTTTAATATATAGTTATCATTATCCTAAAAAAATCGTCACATGACCTTGCTTTCCTTCGTAAATGGGAGAACTGTTTGTGAAAAATAAATGTGATTTGGCATGCATACCTTCAACTTATGAAAAATGCTGCAATCTTTTCAACAATATATGTAATGGTTTTTGTGTAACAATGAGTCGAATCATAGTTCAAGATTTGTTATATTAATTTTTTTGACCTTGTGTATGTTAGTTATTGATTCTTAATTTTATTTTGTGATATTTTTACTGTCAAATTATTCTAATTATTAATTAATTAAATTATTCTAATCAGAATATCTAGATGATAACATGTTTTTTACTATTAAAAACAAAGAAAAAACACTTACTATAAATTATAATCGTGTTCATAATCGTATACCTGTTCATTTGTTAAAAATCAAGATTATCTTTTTATAAAATAGTTTTCTGAAGCTTATTTTAACAAGCTATTTTTATTGTTTGCTCCTAGGACAGTGTTTTCACTACAGCGCGAGAATCTCGCTTATTTTTTTCTTTTCTCGTATTAAAAAATTATTAAAGCGAGAAGATTGCGCATTCTATTAATAAATTTCAAAATGCGCGAATTTTGGAAAAAAATTCCTCTTCTGCCATTTTGAATTGACCCGTTTCACTTTTCTTACTTGATGTTTCATTATTTTCAACATCGATCCCTGTTATCCAGCTTCCCTATTTACCAGTATTGTTCAGAACCAGTGCAAACAGCAGAACACAATCCCCCCTCCCCCCCGAATAATGGAACACCTTTCAGAACACATTTTTCCGAAACTACGTGTCCACAGAAGGTAAGATTTCTTCATGTAAGACGTTTAAATTTTTTGCAATGCTACAAATTTACTTAGTGATTCCGAATTGTTCAGCATCTATTGCAAGGTCATTTAGCACTCAAAACAGAATTAAGATAAAATATAGTATACAAATGACTGATAAACATTTGAGCAACCTAATGAGAAAAGCTGATGAAAAAGTAGATATAGAATGTTTTCCATATGATGATGCAGCAAAAATATTCAATGCTTTACAAATTAGAAGATGTTAAAATGTATTATAATTAAAGAAATATTTTTTCCAAGTCTATTCGCATTTTTTTAATTTTTAGAAATCTCACTTTGAGATCTCACCCTGTTTTTGAGAAAGGGTGAGAAATTCTCTCTCATTTTTTTTCTGTAATGAAAACACTGTAGGAACTCCATTGTATAGCAGTACAGGATTAATGATAAGTAAAAAAGTGAAGTTTCATTATAATTGATGCAAATGATTTAAGTTATATCCTGCTATCAAAACGAGATTTTCCAGAAAATAAAATAAATTACTCAATTGCAGTTTATTATTTTTTTTATTAATGTTTTCGCAGTTTTTGCTTCCATATTCTCAAGGCTTTATTTCTGTTTTGTTTTTAGAACTCTAAAGTTTAATGCAATGCCTATGTTAAAAAAGAGGAGAATTCAACCACTAAACACCTCTAATGAAGAAACTGATGACAAGGAAACTGTGATAACAAGTACGTCTGATGATGATGATGATGCTGATGATGAAAGTGGTGATACTGCTGAAGATTTATCAGATGAGGAGGCTGAGGACTCTAATACAGATTCAAATGAGGAGGAGGATGAGGACGACGAGGAGGAGGATGAGGACGACGAGGAGGAGGGGGAAGAAGAGGACAAAGATGAAGAAGAGGATGAAGATGACAAAGATGAAGATGACAAAGATGAAGACGACGAAGGTGAAGACGACGAAGGTGAAGACAGTAAAGATGAAGACAGTAAAGATGAAGACAATAAAGATGAAGACAGTAAAGATGAAGACAGTGAAGATGAAGAGAAGAAGAACTATGTTCCTAGTCGTAAAATAAGACTTTCAGATTTCATAGAGAACAAAAAAGGAAAAATAGTTACAATGGACTACTGTACAAAGCATCTATATAAAGGACCTATTCAGAATATTAAAGATATGCTTAATGGCTCTGCAGAAGAGGAAATTGAAATAAAAGAGGAGGCACCTGATAAAAATGAACCTGCTTTCAGAAATGCACCTAAAAAGTGGGGCTGGAAGCAAGAAGTGATGCTTTTAGAGGGCATTGAAGCTAATGGCCTTTTTAATTGGTATGATCTTTTTAAAAAATATTTTTGATACTTTCTTATTTTTTAGGTAGGATTGCTTAGAATTCTCAAATAAATGACTTTGCACCTGAGTATATATAACCAGGTTTTGAAAAATCAGTTTTTTTTTTTAAGGATAGCTCTCTTTGGGTTTTTATGAACAACCTTGATTTTTTTAAAAATGTATTTTAAATATTTATTTCTGTTCTTAATGAGATTGAAAGATTTGCTTTTGATCTGAAATTTAAATGAGTGATAACTATTTACCATTTGTTTTGTTGTAATCTGACTATTTTTGGAGAAGTTTTAGATTGCTAGGTTATTATTTTTATTTCTTAACAACAAACAGATTGTTAGATTGAAATTTGAAATTATTAAATTAAAAGTTCCTAATATTTTTTAATATATAAACCAGGTATGCATAATATACATGAACATCGTTTGTGAAAAATTTGTCACCTTCGAAGAAATTTAAAAAAAATATTACTCATTTAAAAAAGAAAGAAAAAAAAACGGTCAGAATTCGCTTATTCAGCTCTGCCATCAATTTTAGAAAATTAGGATGCAACAACAGTTAAGATTAGAAAAGATAAGATTAGAAAAGATTAAGAAAAGTTAAGATTTTTGTATCATGACCTGTGGCAGAATAATTGCCAAGTCTTGGCAACTTCCGGGTAGCGGCCTGTCAGAGACTAAAAAAGAAACATCTCAGAAAGGGAGCAACTCAAAGGGTTTAATTCATAACCACCCCCTAGCAAATCTACTTGTTTTTTTTTTAAAAATTTTTTTGCCACCTTGGCGATTGTAATTGATATGGCAGATCATGATATGAAAATATCCCCACAGAAAATTTGGTAAGACAGTGTTGCGTAACTACCACTATAAATATTGAATACCGATTCACTAGTATATAAGGCATGTTAACTTGATTCTATCTATAGGTACCTTTTGATAGATGAAGGTTGACATAGTCTAAAAAATAAATCCCCTAATTGGTGACCCCGATGTGATAAGAACTTTCTAATATTGATGGATAATCCACATAAAACAGTTGATTTGCTTAAAAATATAATGGTCAAAGAAAAAAAAATCCAGGTGAAGTAAATAAAGTTTTCAGGTCAATAAACAAAAAAAACAAAAAAAAAATGAAAGGGGAAAAAATTAATGAGCGAAATGCTATGAAGAAGAAATATAATTATTAAAAATTATATAAATAGATTAAAAATGTTTTTTTTTAGCATGAATCAACTAGTGGTATCTGTTTATCGAATTATATCACAGATAAAATTCTGGAAGGGGAGAAATGTGGCGTAACTACCACTATAAATATTGAATACCAATTCACTAGTATATAGGACATGTTAACTTGATTCTATCTAGAGGTACCTTTTGATAGATGAAGGTTGACATAGTCTCAAAAATAAATCCCCTAATTGGTGACCCGGATTTGATAAGAACTTTCTAATATTGATGGATAATCCACATAAAACAGTTGATTTGCTCAAAAATATAATGCTCAAAGAAAAAAAAAATCCGGATGAAGTAAATAAACTTTCCTGGTCAATAAACAAAAAAACAACAAAAAAAAATGAAAGGGTAAAAAAATAATGAGCGAAATGCTATGAAGGAAAAATATAATTATTAAAAATTATATAAATAAATTAAAATTTTTTTTTAGCATGAATCAACTAGTGGTATTCGTTTATCGAATTATATCACAGATAAAATTGTGGAAGGGGAGAAATGTGGCGTAACTACCACTATAAATATTGAATACCAATTCACTAGTATATAGGACATGTTAACTTGATTCTATCTAGAGGTACCTTTTGATAGATGAAGGTTGACATAGTCTCAAAAATAAATCCCCTAATTGGTGACCCGGATTTGATAAGAACTTTCTAATATTGATGGATAATCCACATAAAACAGTTGATTTGCTTAAAAATATAATGGTCAAAGAAAAAAAAATCCAGGTGAAGTAAATAAAGTTTCCAGGTCAATAAACAAAAAAACAACAAAAAAAAATAAAAAGGAAAAAAATAATGAGCGAAATGCTATGAAGAAAAAATATAATTATTAAAAATTATATAAATAGATTAAAAATGTTTTTTTTAAGCATGAATCAACTAGTGGTATCCGTTTATCGAATTATATCACAGATAAAATTCTGGAAGGGGAGAAATGTGGCGTAACTACCACTATAAATATTGAATACCAATTCACTAGTATATAGGACATGTTAACTTGATTCTATCTAGAGGTACCTTTTGATAGATGAAGGTTGACATAGTCTCAAAAATAAATCCTCTAATTGGTGACCCCGATGTGATAAGAACTTTCTAATATTGATGGATAATCCACATAAAACAGTTGATTTGCTTAAAAATATAATGGTCAAAGAAAAAAAAATCCAGGTGAAGTAAATAAAGTTTCCTGGTCTATAAACAAAAAAGCAACGAAAAAAATTAAAGGGAAAAAAAATAATGAGCGAAATGCTATGAAGGAAAAATATAATTATTAAAAATTATATAAATAAATTTTAATTTTTTTTTAGCATGAATCAACTAGTGGTATCCGTTTATCGCATTATATCACAGATAAAATTCTGGAAGGAGAGAAATGTGGCGTAACTACCAATATATATATTGAATACCAATTCACTAGTATATAAGTATATAAGTACTAGTATACTAGTATATAAGTTCACTAGTATACTAGTATATAAGTTCACTAGTATATCACTTGATTCTATCACGAGGTACCTTCTGATAGATGAAGGTTGACAATTAATTCCCCTCATTGGTGACCCTCCACAATAACTAGTTATCGTCCANTACCAAGTCAAATCTGGCAGTGGCATATCTCAGAAGGCCCGTAAAAACAGGTGGCCTATAGATGCAAAGTTTGGAGTTGGAGACCTCAAAGATAAAAAATATATGCTGGCATGTAATATAAAAATTAAAAAATATTAAGAAAATCAATGATTTTTATATAAATTTTGTTTTAAATAGGTGGCAACAAAGGTGTTGAAACTATTTTCAAGAGAAGATAAATTGCTTGCTTAAAGTTTTTCAATTGAAATTTTGTGTTCGCAGAAAGTTTCTTATTTTATCCAAATATGATATTAACATATATAATTGCAGACTCTATTGGGATAAAATTCAAATTTTTGCTTACCCATTGCAGCTGAATTTACAATTTTGTTTTTTAATTTCCTATTTAACTTTTGGTTACACAAAATTATTTAAATGTTTTTCCCCAAACAGATTGTTATGTAATATCGTGGAAAGTTAATTCTTAAAAACAGTTCTGAATTCATTATTTTAACTGAAAAATTTGACTGGCAACTTTTTTTTTATAAAGCTTATTATATGAGTAAATATAAATTATTTACTGTTTAATAATTGAAAAATTATGAAATTATATGCTGTACAATTTGTTTTTCATAAAATGATACACATTGATGTAATATATATGAAATTTACTTATCTCTGAAGAGGATTAATATATAACAAGAAAAAAGTCTATTGGTTTTCATTTTGAAATTTGCAATTTTTAAGTTTTATAGAGTCATTAATTAATTATAATTTTAACATGATCTTTTCAAAAATGCTGATGTATCCCTTAATTTTTTGACATTTAATTTTTCAATCTTATTTGAGTAATTTTACATACAAATAATCCATATTTTATTTATGTTTAGGGAATTGATTGCTGAACAGTTATCTAAACAAAGTAGAAAAAAATTTAAACCAGATGGTAAGTTAAATTACTATTTTTATTTATTTATTTGCTAAGCTAAATTGTTAAGTTATTTGATAGCTATATTAATCAACCAGCTGTTGTATTTTGTTTTTTAGAAATCACATGTTATGGGAAGTTATCAGCTGGGTTAGCAATACCTGGATAGTAAACTCTTTTTTCTATCCCAACTTTTTTTTTTAGTATAGCAATTGCAGAATTGTTGAACTGATTGCTGATTTCAGGTTTGGAATTATAGTAGAACTAAGATTAACTAACAGGAATGTCAAAATTGTTAGACTATCTAATGTGTTTTATTAATTATATACTAAGATTCTAAGGATATTTCTCTTGGTAAAACATAAACAATATCATTATTAATTAAGTAGATCCATATGAAACATTACTAAATGGTTAGTTTTATAACTGACTCTTGAGATTTACAATATAGATTAAAAATAGAGCTGTACCAATACCCAGTACCCAGCTTTTTTTTTAGTATCCGGTTTGTTACCCTGACCCAGCAAAATAATTTACCACCTAGACCTGGCTTTTAGCCCCGAGAATCCTGGAATTCTGGTTGGGTAAAATTCATGAGGGTGCCTAACCAAATTTACTGGGCATCCAGTGCTTGGCAATATTCATTTATGTTTGACACGCCCATATTTAAAATTATAGTACCTTTAAAATTATTCAAATATGTAGTTTTTGAAATTCAAGTATTCCTTCACTTCCTTAATTACCAAGCTGAAATAACTGTTGATGTATAGTATATTTTACTCCTTTTGTGCTGTCAGAGAAACCTTAATAAAATGGACACCTTCGAGACAGAGAAAAATGTTCACCACGAAAAGTGTCTGCTGAGGAAAATAATAGGAAAATTCAGAAATATAAAGCTAAAAACCATTTAAGTTAAATTTATATATTAATATGATTGTTAAATAAATACAATCTAAGAAATAAGAAATTATGTTGGCATTTTTTGAAGTTAACAGAACAATGGATAAAACTCAAGGATAGGAAATGTAGAAAAATGTGCATAGCTGTAGAAACAGGGGTCTGTCTAGGTTTTTCTGAGAGGTACCTATTTTGTGAAAATTTAGACATCATTTGTGAAAATTATATTAAAAAATCAAAACAAAAATATGGATTTTTTCGTTTCTTACGGGATACAAAAATAAAATTTTACGAAAAAGTATTTTGTGAAATTACTGTTTTTCCTAAAGTTGAATTTGTGAAGGTACCGCTAAACGGTAGTAAATTTAGCCTGGACAGACTCCTGGTAGAAACAACTGTAGAAAAATGTGTTATAAGGGATAATGATGATTCTCTCATACTAAATTTACTTTCAGCAAATGAGTAAATGCATTAATATGTTCTTGTTATTTCAGTTTATAAACTTAGAAATTTATCGAAGTAAAATGGACTACTGTTGCAAACAGAATATGAATATTTTCTTACAAATAAACTTATTAATTATTTTAATTTAAACATTCTTATTAAATAAATTTGCTAGTAAATAAATGTATGTGTTAAAACAGAGAATTGCGTGATTAAAATTTGATAAATAAATTTTTGAGTGCAGTTTATATTTTAAAAATAAGAAAACCTTCTTAATTTTTTGTAACTTAACGAAAAACTGACTAGGGAACATTCTCTGGTAGAAGTTCTCTTACCACCGGGTTAACCCTGGAGCATTCTGGGATTTTTCCTCTGTGCAAAGCAAATAGGTGTTACTTTCATAAATAAAATTTTTCATGGAATCAAACTAGCTCCCTTTTTGTTACTTACTTTTTGGAGTTACTTAATCCTTTGTGTTGAAAATTACCAGGATACGGAGATTGAATTGTAACATTAAGAACTGCAGAATAGCAATATTAATATTCTGTTCAACATTGGTAAGATTAAATTTCTCAACAAATTTCCAAAAGCTTATGAGATTGTACTGAGATTTCATTCCACATAAATTACATTTATAGTTATCAGATGATTAAAAATTAAGCTATGATCATTAAAATAGTTTTCATTTAATGTATCATCAGTTCATTAAAATATTCTATGTTTAACAGAAGCAGCAGATGTATCAGCAGATGTTTCGATTTTGTAACAAAGTTTCACATTAATCATTCTATATCTGCACAGTCAGCCCAAATTACTTTTTTAAAATTTATTAATAAAATCTTGAAATAAAAGCACATGTTTTTATTTATTCAGGCGAATAATAAATTTCCTTGAACTATATCTCGTAAAATATTTGTTTGAGAGAAAATTAGGACATTGATATTGTTTTGTATAAATGTCATAATACTTGACTGAGTAATAATTCTAAATTTTAAGGGGCACCTGGAACCCACCGAGTAACAAATAAAATTTCTGCACAGTATCCGGTATCGGCCAGGTTAAGGATTCAGTTTTCACTGTCTATTCGAACCCAGCAAAATCTTAGGACCTGGTTCATTTCTGTAGTTTAAAAGATTGACATAAAATCATAAGCAATTTTATGAAATATTTTTCATTGTAAGTTGGGACAGGTTCAGAGTTCTAAATTTGTAACCATTAGAACCCATTATCCTTTTTTAGGAATAAAAAGGCTTAAGCTAGTGTGAATTATTACTTTAATTAGGATAAATTACTTTAAAGTACTCTTTTCCACTTTTCTTTTAAATTTTATCAATGAGACAGGGTGCGTATCGTTTTTAAAAAGTCCTTATTTTTGATTTGTGTTTTTTAAAAGCCCTTAAAGGTGCTTTTTTTATATATTTTTTTATTCAGTGTTTGTAAAAAGTGTTCAATTTTTTATCTTTTAAAAATAGATTTTTTCGATAAAAAATAAAATAGTATCGATTATTATAGTATCTCCAAAAATAGTATCTCCAAAAATAGCATATAATAGTATCTCCAAAAATAGTATCGATTATTGTCATAAATTACAAAAAATACATGATTTTCTTAATTTTCTCTGCAATATTTATCAGAAATTAGTAATTTTATTTTGATTATGTAAAGTTTTTGGAAATGTTTTTACATTTTGTGCATTTTATGTTTATAAATGTAGAACTTTCAACCATAGAAATTTTTTTTATTTATTAATACACATTAATACACATATTTATGACTTTTTTTGGAAAGTGCTTAAAAATATTTTTTGAGTGCTTAAAAACTGCTTTAAAGGTTCTTATTTTTTGTTGAAAAATCTTGCTATGCTCTCTGATGAGAGTATAGAGCAAACTTTCAGCGAATGCTTGATAATGTGATTTGTATTTTCAAGTTAGACTCAAAAGTTCATTTTCACGACGTCCAGAAAATTTTTTTAGTTTCATTTTCTTTTAATTAATTTGTATTCAGAAAATATTATCATAAATGCAAATTTACAATTGTCTTTTTTTCCCCTAAATTTTACAGGAATTTATATTTTAATAACTTTTGGAAATTTTGCATTGCATTTCAAAAAAAAAAAAAAAAAAANAAAAAAAAAAAAAGGAAAAAAAAATTTCATTGTGATGAAGTAATGAAATATTAAAATAAATAATTCATTTTTAATTCTGTATTTACTTTATTACAATTTCAAAAATCATTTGTGTGGCCGGAAATGTATATTTTTTTAGTGTATATTAATATAAATAATTAAAATTTCAATTTCTTTATATTTTTAGAAGTAAAAAATCACTACTTTCAGTATTATTATAATGGAACTCTTGGCCAAGGTAAATATGTTTATTAGAATGGATACTTTATTTATTAAAGTTGCTTATTTATCTATCACTGATGAGGAATTTCTTTATGTGTTTTGAATTTTTCTTGTATTAGTTTTATTTTTTAATTTTTATTTCTGTTATAAGGATGATTTGAGGATATTGTAATTATCATCCTGATCGTTTTAGATTTTTATGAAATTTTTAGAAATCACATTTTTTGAAATCCCTAATTCATTACTAATTTTTTTGAAATTTCCAGTTCCGAGGAATTTTAGAAAGTTGAATCAAGCTCATTTAAAAGAGAAATGTAGTATACCAAAACTCAGTTATTGGTACTAACATTCTTGTTTCTTTATGTCCAAAAAAAGAACTTTGTATCTCGTGTATGCAGAAAATATCAAAATTATACAATTATAAAGAGAAATATAAATGTGGTAAATTCAATTTGTGGGTAGTCATTACACTAGTAGTGATAGAATAAGTTATTGTGTCATTAGGTGATCTGCACAAAATATCAAAATGGTTATCAGTCCTTCAAATTTTTTTAAGTGTGCTTAGGATGTTTCTACAGTACTTTTGTGCTATTGATGTAAATGAAACTAATTCTGTGCTATTAAAGTTATTTAAATTATTTTCAAGTTGTGTTAATTGACATATTCTCAAATTACGTATGATAAAAGTCATCATAAGTGTCTTTTACTGTTTGCCTAATTTTTCATTTCCATTATAAAAAATAATGTGTTCTGGTAAACAATTTAAATATATTGTGAGATAGATGGTGTAATGCGGTGAGTAGATTACAAAAATCAGTCTAATCATTTCTTAGAAAATAACATTATTAAAATAAGCTTATTATTTTTCGCATATTCTATAATATATATATATATAT